GGCAAGAGCTAGAAGAGAAAGGGAAGAAGTCGATGCCCAGCGCCATGCCGGGGACTTGACTCTAAGGCATCTATGAGCACATCAGGGGGACATGAGGAAAACCAGAGCAGGGGTCCAACAGCTGTCCACAGTCCCCCATCTCTCCTGCAAGAGTCTTACATCTGTAGGGCTGGCATGGCTCAAAGCCAGAGCGCCTGCCTAGCAAGTCTCGTAGCTGCACCTTTGACCAATCCATTATAAATACGCCTTGCCACCTGGACAAAGGTCCTGCAAGGAGCCGGGGTCAGGTTGCTTTGTTTCCTTCCATTCTCTCAGCAAATATTTAGACTGCCTTTTCAGCCATGAAGAACACAACACAAATGCTGGCTACATGCTGAGTTGTCACCAAAACATTGCTGGGAGAGGCAATGGGATGTGGTGGAAGGACAAAGGTGACTCAGAGGCGAAATCAGCACAGCAGAGGAGGCCCGGGAGAGGACTGGTGGCATCTGGCACAGCTGGCCCTCTCTCAGGTGCACAGCAGCCTCACACAGGTTCCTTCCTTCTCTGAGCCCCAGGACCCTCGTCTGTTAGAGGACAAGTGAGGGTGAAAACAGAGCCTCCTCGTAGGTCCCTGCCAGGCTGAACTGGGCAAAAGAGCTCTGTCAATGTCTGCTACTGTGACACCTTACCGAGGGGGACGCTGGACATCGGACTGAACGTTCTGCTCTTCATATCTCCACTAGGAAGAGGGACAGAACTAGGTGGTATGAAGAGTTCTGGTGCTGGAGGCTGAGGGAGGGCCTCATGCACGCTAAGCATGTGCACCGCCACTGGGCCACACCACCCCCTGACTTGATTGATTCATTGATTGATTGATTGATTGCAGTACTAGGGTGTGAACTCACAGCCTTCACCTTGAGCCATTCCTCCAGCCCTTTTCTGTGATGGGTTTTTTTGAGATAGGGGCTCGCAAACTCTTGCCCAGGCTGGCTTTGAACTGCAATCCTCCTGATCTCTGCCTCCTCAATAGCTAGGATTATAGGCGTGAGCTACTGGCACCCCTCTAGTGGGCTATTTATTGAGCTATTAGGGAAAAAGTGAGACCTCCCTGTGGTAGCCACCAGATGGCAGCAACAGGGCTGGCGGAGTGGCTCAAATGGTAAGAGCACTTGCCTTGCAAGCGTGAGGCCCTGAGTTCAAACCTCAACACCACCAAAATAACAAACAAACAAACAAACAAAAACCAAACAGATGGCAGAAGTGAAGAGCTTAGCTGTTACCTATTTTGGGAAAAACTTAACTTTTTTTCAGTACACAAATCCACTGGATGAAAAAAACAAAAACGTTTCATCATTCCTAGGCCTTATTCCAAGGGAGCATCTGTTAACATTTTGGGGGTTTTTCCTTGCTGGGATCAAATCCAGGACCTTGTGCATGTTATGCAGTGTTCCACCACATTTCGATGCTCTCTTCACATGTGTTTTGTTTTTGTTTTTTGCGATACTGGGGCTTGAACTCAGGGCCTTCACCTTGAGCCACTCCACCAGCCCTTTTTTGTGAAGGGTTTTTCTGAGATAGGGTCTCGAGAACTATTTGCCCAGGCTGGCTTCCAATGGCGATCCTCCTGATCTCTGCCTCCTGAGTAGCTGGGATTACAGGCGTGAGCCACTGCCTCACATTAACAAAAATGTGGACACTTATGTAGAAAAATTTTGAGACAGGGTCTTGCTAAATTACTAAGACTGACCTGAAATTCTGATCACTCAGCCTAGACTTCTGACTAGCCAGGATTATAGGTCTGCACCACCATTCATTGCTGTTTTCTTCTTTTTTTTTTCTTATGGTACTAGGGAATGAACACAGGGTTTGCAGAGACTAGGAAAGCACTTAACCACTGAGCTCCATCTCCAGCCCAGCTCTTTTTTTTGAGACAGGAACTCACTATGTACTTCAGGGTGGCATGCTGCATGCCTGAGGCTGGTCTTGAGCTTGTGACCCACCTTCCTATGCCTGGGATTACAGGCATGTGTCACCATGCCCAGCCCATTCCATAGAATCTTACCGCCATAATGCTCTTGTTTAATGTAGCCTAACTTTCTAATGCTCTTAATCTATTTTAGACCATCTGTTGTCTGTCATCAGTCAAAATCCTCTATGTCCTTACTGGCTCATGCTTGTATAATCCTAGCTACTCCAAAGGCAGAGATCAGGAGGATGGAGGTTCAAAACCAGCCCCGGGCAAATAGTTCTTGAGACCCTATCTCAAAAATACCCATCACAAAAAAAGGCTGGTGGAGTGGCTCAAGTGGTAGAACGCCTGCTTAGCAAGCACAAGACCCTGAGTTCAACCTCTAATACTGCCAAAAAAGAAAATCCAAGTGAACAGAGCAAAGAATGTGCTGAGCTGCAAACTTTGCAGTCCACAGAGGTGGGGGCATTTGAATTAGGAGGTGAAGAAAACACAGGGTTGGAAAAACATGATAAAGAATTTCTGATGCAGTTCAGAAAGAGCTAAACTTTTTCTGCAGAAAAGGCCAGAACACAAGACATGTGACATTGATGGCTTTTTCTTTTTGTTTGCGGTGGGGATGAACCCAGGACCCTGCACAGGAAGCACCCTTCCACTTGAGCCACACCTCAAGCCCTTTTGTTCCTGTTCTGTTTTTGAGATGGGATCTCCTGTCTTTGCCCAGCTGGCCTTGAACTTTTGTTCCTGCTGCCTCTGCATCCCAGTAGCTGGGATTCCAGGTGTGTTACCACACCCTGCCTGTATGGATGATTTAATTTTTTTTTTTTATTTGTAATGTCCTGATTTCATCATTTTAATGTGAGTAGTGACTAAGGTTAAGTTACTTGGATGATTTAATTTTTTAACCATCCTTTGAGATTCCCTGATTATCCATGCCATAGAATTCATTTTTTGGGGGGAAGGTGGGACTCCTTTTCTGTGTGTGTGTGTGTGTGTGTGTGATACTGGGGCTTGAACTCAGGGCCTACAGCTTGAGCCACTCCACCAGCCCTTTTTTGTGATGAGTATTTTCTGAGATAGGGTCTCAGGAACTATTTACCTGGGCTGGCTTCGAATCACAATCCTCCTGATCTCTGCCTCCTAAGTAGCTAGGATTACAGGCGTGAGCCACCAGCACCCGGCTACATCTGAATTCTTTAACTGCTCTTTTCCTTTAAATCTTCAAATTCCCTCCTTTGAAGAGAATAGGTAGAGTAGGTTAGGGGATATATTCCAAGGTCCTCTAGCAAACAGTGTCTGAAGATTTGTCTTTGTGAAAACTTAAGAGGTGCTTAAGCTACTTTTCTGAAAAGTACTGACTCCTTACATGGCCCATAAATTAAACCCAGGAGAAAGCATCGTATCTCTCCTCCATTTTGTGTCTGTCTTTGCTCTAAGCCATCCTCTCTGCAGTCACCTTGCAACCACCTTGGATTCCTGGAGAGACAGAATTGATAACATCTTCATGACCAGGGACAGAAATTACCCCCAACCTTAAAGCCTCCTCAGGGTGGACACCTTCCAGATAGCAACTCAGGAACCTCTCCCAGAATAAGAACTGTTACAATGACCAACCAGACCACCCTGTGATTGGGACTGCTTAACTATGCATGCCTTTTGTCCCCTGCCCCTACTTCTTTTCTCTACTTCAACCTGCAGCTTCTGTCTGTAACCTGAAGATGGCTGAGTGCTTTACTCTGCCTCTTCTCCCAGCAGGTTCCTCTTAGAGTGAAAGGGGCACGGAAGAGATGGGCCAGCGCAGGGAAAAAGCCCTGTGGAGGGGAGTATCTAGCCAAAGCCAGAACCCCACAGCCACTTAAAGACTGGGGGTAGATCTAGGAGGTCAATGGGGAAGTTCCAGGAAGGTCACTGGGCAGGAAAATCCTTATTTGGCCCTCTGACCCTCTGGAGATAACAGATTAAGGGCGGGTCATTCTTTGAGGCCTTGTGGGGAGTTTCTAGTGAATAGCTAAAGGTGGAAGTTATTTATGTTTTGCGAACCAGGGCTTGAGCTCAGGACCTTCACCTTGAGCCACTCCAGCAGCCCTATTTTTGTGAAGGGTTTTTTGAGATAGGGTATCTTGAACTATTTGCCCGGGGTTGGCTTCAAACTTTGATCCTCCTGATCTCTGCCTCCTGAGTAGCTAGGATTACGGGGGTGAGCGCCTGGGGCCTGGCTGCCACAGTTCTTTGATCTACTTAAATCTACCCTGAAAATGGATGAGTGCTCTGGCTCTTCCATGGCATATCTGGAGTCATGTAATAAATCTTTCTCTGCCTTAACTACATCTCTTTAACTAGCAATAGGGGTGAGTGGCTGGACCTCACAAGTGGAATTCCAGGAGTTTGCACCTTGGGTCCAAACTCTAGTTTCAAGAGTAAATATGTCATTTCTTAGCCTTACACTTTCCAAGCTGGGGGACATACTAGGTCCAGTCTAGCAACTTCTAATCACGATAAAGGATCTGGGTGGGCAAGATGGCTGTTAAAACAGGGAGGCGTCATCCAGGCCTACCCAAAACACAGGGACAGTAGGTGAGTTTTAGAACTTGCCTTTCGGCAGACAAGCTTTCCCTCTACCCAGCTAGGAGCCTAGGAGCTGGTAACATCTCAGAGATATTAACAAAGCCTATAGCTCCTTGTAACATATACATCTAAAAGGATCTGGGAGGGGGTGGCCTTTTAGGTTTTACTTCCTGGTTCCAATGTCTGCGTCTGGACCGTTAAATATTTAAAATAACACAATATTTCTGTCTCATCAATCCATCCTGCCTCATCCATTACTCATGGCCACCTAACACATTCACCAAAGGCCGGCTTCAGTGGCCCGAAGTGGCCCTCAGGTGATCTGCTCTGGTTTTTAATTTGGACATGTTGGCCCACCGTGCCCGGCATGACGGATATCCGCGTGGGGCCTTGGGGACGCCCAGCGACGCAGGGCCAGGGCGCTCCCGGGGCGGTTCCAGCCGGCGGGGGCGCTGATCGCGGCCAGGGCGCCGCAGGCCACGGAGCCGGGGTCACGTCCGGCGGGGCGGGGGGCGGGGATGTCCCCGCGGTCCCCCGACTGTCCACGCCCCGCCGCGGGCGACTCCAGCGTCTCGCGAGAGAGCGGGCGGCGCCGCTTCCTCTCGCTCCTTTCTCTCCCCGCCCCACGGTCGCTGCGCCGCTTCCTCCGGAGGGCGGGGACCCTGGACGTGGCGGGGCGGGGACGCCGGGCTGGGCGCGCGGTGGTCGGGCCGGGATCGGCCCGCGCTCCGTAGGTAGACGGGGGAGGGGGGGCGCACCTGGGCGCGGGGCGGGGCCGCGGGGGGCGGGGGCGCCACACCTGGGCGGGGGGCGGGGGCCACCTGGGCGTTGCGCAGAAGAGTCGCCGGGCCGCGCGCTCTCTGGCTCTCTCGCTCTTTCACTCTCTCGCTCCCTCGCTCTCTCGCTCGCTTCCTCCCTCCGGGGTGGGCTCATCGCCGGCTCTCCGCCGTGGTTGGGGTCGGCCGGCAGGATGATGACTTCGGAGATGGAGTCGTCGGTCGAGAGCAGCTTCTCCGCCAGCTTTGCGGTGTCGGCCTCCGGGACTCTGCTTCCCGCGCGCTCCCGCATCTTCAAGATCATCGTGATCGGCGACTCGAACGTGGGCAAGACGTGCCTGACCTACCGCTTCTGCGCCGGCCGCTTCCCCGACCGCACCGAGGCCACGATCGGCGTGGACTTCCGCGAGCGGGCGGTGGACATCGACGGCGAGCGCATCAAGGTGAGCTGGGCGCGGGGGCCGAGCCGCGCTTCCCGGGCCTGTGCGTGCGCTTGGCCTGGGGTGCCAGTCCAAGTGCACATCGCGGCTTGCCACACTCCCCGCCATGCAGGGGCCACGCTTTGAGTCTCGGGGGGCCCGGGGGGCCTCGGGGGGCTCGGCCTCACCGGCTGCGCGTCTTGGGCTGCGCTCGGTGGAACACGACCAGAGGAAAGACTGCAAATCCTCTAGCGGAGCAACTTCATTTAGCGTTGCCCACCAAGGTTTCATTCGGCGCTGCCAGGTGGGAGGGCTGCGGAGGTAAAGCCTGCTGCCTGGAAGTCCTACGCCTCCCGAGTACAGCTGTGTCGCCGTCGTTTCTCTGGGACATCAATTTATTTAGAGAATTTTGTTTTTCCCCACAAGACATTTTACATATGATGGAAAGCGTGTTTCTGAAGATACCGGGGTCTGAAGTCGGGGCCCTCCGATTCCTCTGCAGGCCTTTTTTCTTTTTTTCACATTCCCCAAAGTTTTCTTTTTCTAATATGCTGGTAGGCATAGCTTGTAAGTTTGTCACTGGAACCACCATTTTAAGCCTATAGCAACTGAGTTTAGGACAAATTTGGCATTACTGGGCCTCATGCTTGTTAGGCAGGCGCTCTACCACTTGAGCCACGCCTCCAGCCCTAGGGCAAGTTTAAGGCCACTTTAAAAAAAATACAAGAGCACATCACTTCATTTGCATTTCGTTTAAATCCTTGATGGGTTCAGCTTCCCATGGATTCTGCTTCCAGCAGCCTTGGGCTGGAAGGCTGCTTCAAAGTTTGGCACTCAACTGTGTCACTGTTTCCATGGGCACCAGTTACCTTACCTTTCCCCAGATTACTCTGGTTTTGTTGGGTTTGCCGCCAGGAGTCACTGATTTTTTTTTTTTTGTTTTGTTTTGGCTTTGTACACACAAGCACATCTTTTGCCCAAGTAGAATTTGGTTTTGTCTTGGACATAAATACTTTTTTTTTTTTTTGCCATATTGGCGTTTAAACTTGAGCCACTGCACCAGCCCTATTTTTGTGAAGGGTTATTTTCCAAGGCTGAGTTTGAACCATGATCCTCCTGATCTCTGCCTCCTGAGTACCTAGGATTACAGGCATGAGCCATCAGTACCCGGCAGCACCTTTTATTTTGAAGAAAAGCCATGTGCTCCCTTTGGTTCCGGAGACCAGCCTTGTAGTCAACAAAAATGGCCTGGCACCATAGCCTTCCCGACATTTGGACTTACAGAAGTTCTGTTCCCAGCAGGCTCTACAGGCTACTAGATGGTGCCCTTTTCCCTTTTTTAGGTTAACTTTTCAGAGAGGGTCTCACTTATTTCTGCCCAGGGTCAGCCTCTGCTGGTGATCCTCCCACCTCCTGAGTAAGTTGGGATTACAAGTGGGGGCCACTGCACCCGGGTCCAAAAGTACTTTTTTCAAGACCAGCACAGATCATCTCCCAATTCCTCTTCCATTTTAGTCATTATTTGTGGTCCTGGGACTGGGGACAGTGATAGTAATAGCAGAGAAGGTATTAGGCTAGAGGAGGCATGATTGGATTGGGGCACTGGAGAATGTGACACACTTAGTTGCAAGCCGTGACCACAAGCCACTTCATAGCATGGGACCTAGGGGTTCCCCACTACTGTTTTTACCTTCTGATCTGTATTGGTGCTTGTCTTGACTTCAATCTGCCAGGGTGGGGATAATGGGGAACAGGCCTGCCATGGTTATCCTCTCATCTACCCTTGAGGCATGGAGTTTTTCAGTTCCCTGTTCCCCCTGCTCTGCTCTCAAAGCACCTTCACTGTTCTAATGATGAAGGAGAAATAGGCTGAGTTGCATCCACCCTCTCCAGGCCCTTTTGCCTTTTAATTTTAGACTTAAGTTTGCCATTGTCCCATTCAAGCTGTCAGTATTGGTCCTGTGGGTGCCCTGCACTAGGGAGTTAGAGAGGTTGGTAAGGTTAGGGTGCAGCTCAGTGGCACAAGGCCCTGGGTTTCATCCCCAGCACCACCATGAGAACAAGCGCAACAGAGCTGGAGAGATTTGCATACATTGCAGAGGAAAAGATAGGAGAAACGGGACATTTTCCACAAAAAACGGGGTTAGGCCTAGAAGCCTTCAGGGGAGTAGTTTGGCCATTTAACTGGGAACAACTGAAGTTCTGAGAAAAGGAGCCCAGGCTTTGGAGCCCACCTACCTGGGTTCACATGTGAACCTATGCAAAAGGCAAGGGTTTGACATTGCCCACGTGTGGGAAAACAGTCCTTGAATTCCTAGGTTAAGGGTCAGTGATTGGGTCCTGAAGTCTCTGAACCACAAATGGCTTAATTCACTCCTGGACTGATGACTTAACCCATACTTGGATGCATGGGATAGACCAGTCATGGATTAATGGATGCTGTGGGTGTGGCTTCATCATCCACGAGGTTGCTATACAGGAAAAGATGTCCCACAGACGCTGGCTTGGTGCTGTTATACTTCCCAGCCTCCAGAACTGTTCGCCAAATAAACTTCCCTTCTGTATAAATCACTTGATCTTGGATATTGTGTAATAGGCTATGTGTCTGACTAGTAGACTATTCAGGTTCTCTTTGGGGGCAGGGAGGAAGCGGCCAACTGGAGTTTGAACTCAGGGCCTCATGCTTGCTGGGCAGGAGCTTTGCCACGTGAGCCACTCTGCCAGCCCTTTGTGGTGGATTCTGAGCAGCTAGGATTATAGGTGTGAGCTACTTGGTGCCCAGCTCTGTTAAGTTTTAAGACTGATCCTGTGGGAACCTCTTGAGTGAGCCTCAGCAAACCAGGAGAGTTGGTTACCCTGGCCCTCAGGCAGGCTCCTAATATAGTAAACTTGCAGGCTGGTGGGGGAGAGATGAGGACACATCAGTCCCTGCTTTGTAACTGGGACCCTTTGGAAGGCTTTAACATTATTTTTGGTCGCGGTCACTATTAGCCCTGTAGCTGTGGACCAAAGAAGAAAGCAGAGATGGAGGAGGGCATGAGTAGAACCCGGAAAGGGAGAGAAACTCAGTGAAACAGGAGTGGGAAATCAATCGGATGCAGATTTTAAGAGATACTAATATTGAAAAACTATGCAACATGTTATCCAGTGTATACTTATTTGGGAGAGAAGTACACCGGAACCACAGGTGTAGTGGGTTTTTGTTTTTGTTTGTTTTTTCCTGTACTGGGGTTTGAACTCTGGGCCTTGCGTTAGCCAGGCCAGTGCTAGACACTGGAACTACTCCTAGCCCTTTTTGCATCTTGCTTTATGCAAGACCACAATCCTCTTATTTGTGCATCCCCAAGTAGCTGGGATGACAGGTGCCACTGCACCTGGCTCAGATGTGGTCTCAGATTTTTTTCCTGGGCTGGCTTTGGTCTGCAGTCCTCTCAGCCTCTGCCTCCCAGGTAACTAGCATTCTAATTGTGAGCCATTGTGCCCGGCTCAGGGTTGATCTGGTTGCGAGGAGTGAGTAGAAGACATTTATTCTGGAGTTATTCTTCTGATCTTTAGTCTAGCCTGTCACAGTGATGGGGACCTGGACACCGATTCTTCTTCTTCTTTCTGAGGTTCTAACCCTCTTGTCTCTCTAACTCCAAATCTTGAGATTTCTGAGACTTCTGTAGTAGGAAAAGATACAGCTGTGCTGGAAATTTTAAAGACAACACAACTCTTCAGTACTTCCTTTGCATATCTGGTAAGTGACTTAGAAGAACTTGCTTTCTTTCTTCCCTGTGCTGGCTCTCTTGCTGACCTGTGACACAGTGCCTCTGAAGTGTTCATGGGATTAAATCATTCCTGTGGAAAGTGAGAGCCTCATCTGAAAGGACCCTCTTACAAGTTTTTGGCTTAAAGCTGGAAGGCTCTAGATTCCTTTACTTATAAAGCAACAATCTAAGCTGTCTACACCTGTAATCCCATCACAGGGGAAGCAGAGGCAGGAAGATCACATGCAGGAGGCCAGCCTGGGGTACATAGTGAGAACCTGTCTTGAAACAACCCCTCCTCCCCCATCATTCTCAATGATAATTGATTAATCATTGATAATTGCGACTGAACAGCCCTGCTTTTCCAGATCAGTTAAACCACCTCATGAAATGTGACAATGTCTACACTGCTCATCTGGTTCTAAGTGTAGTACACTTATAATTGAAAGAGGAAAATCTTGGTTGCAGAACTTTGGAAGTTAAAAAGAATTATAAAACCAGGTCCTTGATTTGACTTTTAAAATCGAATCTCCTAGCGCTAATTCATTTTCGTTCCTTGCTCACAAGGAGCTACTTTCCAGTTCCTTCTGCAGTCATTTTGCAGTCACATGCACCATGGAAGCCAGGTGATTTGGGCTTTAGTCCATCCCCCCACTAGGGGTCAGCAGCTCCTGCTTGAATAGCTTACTTATTCGTAGTGATAGAAAATGGAATTTTGCCATTTTTAAGATGTTGATAGTAATTACGGGGAAAAAGTAGGGGCCCCACCTTTGGAGGGGTAATCAGTCAAAAAAGCCAATTTGTTAAGCACAAGAATTATATCCACTGCAAGGGGTGGGGTGGCAAACTGTTCTGGAGGGCTCATTCCCTTCCCTCATTTATTGATTTTGGTGGTATTACTGGGAAAACGCCTTGGTTCTTGGCATCCAGCAAGAGATGAGTTCAAGTTGGGTGCCACTGGCGCACACCTATAATCCTAGCAAATAGTTTTGTGAACCCTATCTCAGAAAAAACCCTTAACAAAAAAGGGCTGGTGGAATGGCTCAAGGTGAAGGCCCTGAGTTCAAAGCCCAGTATCACAAAAAAAAAAAAAAAACCCCAACAATAACAAAGTGAATTCAAGGAAGAGGCAAAACATTAAAAAGCAATGGTAAAGTTTATTGGAAATGGAATTTAGCATAACTGGATTAAGTGGAGAGGAAACACTTGCTGCAGGAAATGGGGGTAGAGACTCAATGGGGTTCTCATCCCTTAGTCGTACACTTTGCAAGCTGGGGGGGGGACATCCTAGGTCCCGTCTAGCAACCTCTAATCATTAAGATAAAGGATCTGGGTGGGCAAGATGGGTGTTAAAACAGGGAGGAGTCATCCAGGCCTACCCAAAACACAGGGACAATAGGTGAGTTTTAGAACTTCCCTTTCAGCAGACAAGCTTGCCTTACCCAACCTTGTAGGAACTGGGCTGATAAGGATAACCCTGTCCTTGTAACTTGTAGACCTAAAGGGATCTGGGAGGGGTGGCTACCTGTTCTGGCTCTTTAGGTTTTCCTTTCTTTTTGCAATGTCTGAGTCTGGGCCGTTAGATACTGATAATTTTCCTGTCTCATCTATCCTGGCTTACTCATCACTCATGGCTACCTGTTAGGTTTGAACTCAGGGCCTTATGCTTGCTAGGCAGGTAATCTACTGCTTGAGCCATGCCCCAGCTGTTTTAGTTATTTTTCAGATAGGGTCTGAATTTTGCCCCAGGCTGGCCTGGAAGCAAAATCTTCCTCTCCTACCGCTGCCTCCCCTGTACCTGGGGTTACAGTTGTGTTCTTTGAGACAGGGTCTCACTAACATTTGCCTGGGTTGCCCTTGAACTTGCAACCCTCCTACTCAACCTTCCTCGTGTTGGGGGTACAGGTATGAATCACCACACCTAGCTTCTAGACTGTTTTTCAAACTTTGTTTCCCACTAATTTCCTTTAGGTTCCCTATGGGCCAGCCAGTCATTCGCTGAGCCCAGTGTTTGCTACTCTTTTCTCACTACATCTCTCTGTATTTTGCTCTTGTGACAGCCCCTTATTCAACTAGGGTGGCTCTAGCAGAGTCCCCATGTCTCCCTCCTTCATACCTCCCTGCCATTGCACTATGCATGTGCCCCTCCCTCGCACGGGGTGGGTCTGGTGGTTCCCTAATCATCTTCCAGTTCCCAAAGCTTGCAATGTTGAGTGTGTGCAAAGATAGCTGCTCTGGAAATTCAAAGTCAAGTGAGGAAGGATGGAGGAGTGAAGGTAGTGAGGATGGGAGAAGGCAAGGCTTCAGTCCCTGCTTTCAGTAGGAAGAGGACTGTTTGCCCAGGCAGGCTTCAAACCTCGATCCTCCTGATCTCTGCCTCCTGAGTAGCTAGGATTACAGGCGTGACCACCCCATAGTAGAGTTTTATTGAAAGAAAAAGGAAAGTAAGGTGGACTCTGGCCAGATGGCACAGAAGCCCCAGTCTTTGGCAATTTATAAGGTTTAAGGGCAGGAAAAATCTGGGCAGTCTTTGAAGGAGGAGCTGTGGTGATTCACAGGCTTAGTTGACAAGGCTTTGTTATGTACGGTGGTTATTTTGTGTATGCGCTCATGCAATTCCCACCAATATTCATAAAGATCTTAAGAGGGCTTTGCCTGAGAGGTCAGATTGGACAGACTTCCCTTTTGTCCTATGTGAAGAGACTCTCCTGTCTTTTAGGGGATTTACATCTGCAAAGGAATTTACAGCTGAGACTTTTGAAGGTGGTACTGGGTGGGGACAAAGAAGAATCCAGCATGGGTGACCTTTTTGCTGAGTAGGGTGGAGTCCTTGAGGGCTTGGTCAGGGTCACAGGAGTTGGAGGGTGTGCTAACAGTCTGCTCCCTTTCTGCCTTAATTATGCTGTAATCACCTACTCATTTCAAAGAAAGTGGTTTTAGTCAAACAAAATTTACAACTTCTTGTTAGGGTGTACAGATTAATTTGTAATGCTGGAAATGAAATCCAAGCCTCACACTTGCCGTGCAAGTAACTCTACCACTGAGCTGTGTTTCTTAAATTTAACACTAACTGAGCAAGGGACTGCCACTCAGGGAGAAGCTAGACTTGAGGCTGGAAACTTGCCGCTTGGCTCTGCACGCCAGATGTACACATTTGTACTCCGAATACTAGAAGCAAAAAGTGCTTTTGAGCTGTTACCCGTGTTATGCTTGCAGTTGATTTACCACTTATCTTGTTAATGGAAGCTCTTACAGAGTTCCCAGGTGATCTTTCATTATGTTGGTTATAAGCAAAAAGAATAAAAAGGTGTTCTTTGGAAGAGCAGAGGAGAAGGAAATGCAACAGGTGATCAAAGGAGGAAGGGGTGTTTGGATTAATGCTTTTAACATGTTAGGTCAAGCAAAAGTCTCGTTTTGGGTAAACTACTAAAACTTTCATGAACAGTAAGAATCTACTTTTAGAGTTCTTGGGCAAGTGGGTTGCCATTTTTACTGGGATTTAAAGTAAAGATTCATAAATGGGAGAAATATCTAAGTGAACACATTTGCCATTTTTCTTAGGATGCTTAAGTATTAAATTGAGTAAAAGTGCTCTGAAAATATGTTTTAATTTAACTTTTTGGGTTTTTGGCGGGGGAGACTGGGGTTTGAACTCAGGGTTTTGTGAACTTACTGTTGGTTTTTTTCCAGACAGGGTGTCACTGTGTAGCCCAGGCTGGCTAGAATTTTCCAACCTGCCTCAGCCTGCAGAGTGCTGGGTTTACAGCCTGTGCCACCACGCTCAACTTGGGGTGCTTTTATTTTTAATTTGTTAGTTTGGGTAAAAATAAAAAGTTGTATTCTTGGGCTGGAGGTGTGCTCAAGCAGTAGAATGCATCTCTAGAAATGCAAGACCTGATTTCAAACCCTAGTGCATCAGTACGGTTTTTGTTTTTATAGAAGGTAAGATGGATTTTTTTAAAGAATTCTACACTTATTTTTATTGACTTTGCATATAGTCAGTTTGGCTAACATGTGCATATATGGTTCTACATTTTACTTTGACTGTTGAGCTGAGGCCTAGAAGTGCAGTCATGCTGGCTGCTCGTAGTGGGCCTGGCAGGTTAGTCTGCTTCTCTGTCTGTGACTGAGCCCATCTGTAGCTCTGTTGCTTATATCCCAAAATGGATGTCTTGTGATTTACTGGGTCTTCAGGAATGCATAGACAACCTGGCACTTCCTGCATAAATATGAGTATAAGGATGCCATTCAGCTGCATGGAGGAGGAATTCAACGGAGGTGACTTATTTTCCTCGTGTAATGAGAGATGAGTCAGCCCATATGACCACCTGTGGGTGAGGGGCCAACTTCTGCCTCTTGTGCAAGGCTATCCTGATGCTTATAGAATAGCTGCTGTACTTCCAGGTGGAAAGGCATAGATGAGGCAGGGAAAAGACGTGTGCCACATGTTCTCTTTTCAAATCACAAAACAGTTTGCCTGGAAACCCTGTGAAGAAGACTGTGATTGGCTAGAATTGTGTCATTGGGTCCCCAGTGCTAAGAGAGATTGTGTAGTGTCTTCCATGTCTACCTGGAACAAAATTAGGTTTATGTTAGAGGGTTTTTTTTGGGGGGGAGGGTGGGGGTTATCACTGAGGCTTGACTCAGGGCCTCATGCTTGCTAGGCCGGCACTCTTCTGCTGAAGCCACTCCACCAGCCTAATTAGGAGTGTTTTTAAAATGAGAACTTTAGTTTAAAAACAGTGCCCAAAAAAAGATGAAAAGATCAGAACCGATAGAAGGTAGCATGGCAGAGAGGGACATGACCAGTATTTACATCTAATCACGTTTTAGAATTTATTCATCCAGTACCTCTTGGCCACTAGCATGGGATCTTCTGAAGCCCCTCAGTTTCACTCTTTCCACATCATTGTATGAGTTCCTGCTTAGTCTGTACTCGGAATATCCTCCTCCCAACAGTGCCTCATCTTTGACCTGTTTTTAGGGAGTACGTAAAGGTGTTGTTTAGAGGCGGGACGTCTCTACTATTACCATTTGTCCTAGGTCTAAGTATTTTTAATTAGATGAGGTAAAAATAGAGGCATAATTACAAAGCCAATAGGAATTAAACACGTGCGCTTAATTATTAAAACCTGCTATATTTTCCACTTAACATTTTAAAGTAAATTTTTGAGGGATTCTTTTCATCCAAACAAATTTCACTTATTTCAATTTAGATTAATGCTAAATTTCTGAGCTGTGTATTATGATTTAGTGATATGGTAATTAGCATCATGAAGCCTAGAATCCGCAGATAGCACAGAAAGGATGTTTGGAAGGATTACCCAACTGGTGAAGGTCACATGAAGGTGATCCAGTTTCTCAGTGTGTGTCAATGGAGGGAAGTTTTCAGTTTTCCTCTTCATTTTCAGATCCAGCTCTGGGACACGGCGGGACAGGAGCGGTTCAGGAAGAGCATGGTGCAGCACTACTACAGGAACGTGCATGCGGTCGTCTTCGTGTACGACATGACCAGCTTGGCCAGTTTCCACAGCCTGCCATCTTGGATAGAGGAGTGCAAACAGCATTTGCTCTCCAATAGCATACCACGGATTCTCGTTGGAAACAAGTGTGACTTGAGGAGTGCCGTTCAGGTCCCCACAGACTTGGCACAGAAATTTGCAGACACACATAGTATGCCTTTGTTTGAAACCTCTGCTAAAAGCCCGGATGATAATGACCACGTGGAAGCTATATTTATGACTTTGGCTCATAAGCTGAAGAGCCACAAACCATTAATGCTCAGCCAGCCTCCTAATAACAGAATTACCCTGAAACCTGAAGCAAAGCCTGCAGTGTCATGCTGGTGCTGAATTAACGGTCTTTATTATACTGTCTGGTTTGTCCAAAATGCTCTTTCAGTATAAGTCGTAAGATTTCATTTTAAACAGTATGGTCGTTCTGACACCTCACTGTTTGTGATTGTCACGCACACTTTTGTATTTACTTAATCAAGCTTGTCACTGTGACCATGCAAGGATAGAGCTGATTTTCAAATGAGATTGAAAACGAAGTAAAGATAGACGAGTCACAGCATCTTCCTAGTGAGAGCCCAATGAAGGGAGAGGGAGCCTCATGGGAGCATGGTGGGATGGGAAGCCAGTAACTCCATCCCTGGGACTTGAAGAAGAAATACTGTTTTGTATAGAGCCTGCCTTAAATTGCAGATCCATTGCACAAAGTTTTGCTCAAGCATGGTCAGAGTAAAAAAAAAATAGATCAAAGCAAATTCCCCAAACTAAAGTTTTAATATCCTGCAGCTCAGAAGCTATGAAGCTTACTCAGTCCATTGCTGTGTTTAAAACCCCGTGGGGTCAGCCGAGTGTTTCCCTGCCCTTCATTTTGTGAAAATCTGCCTCCCTAAAAACAAGTGGTGCCTCAAAAGCAAGGTAAAAGTTACGGTAGCCATCCTAAAAGCAAAATGGCATGCAGTATGCTTGATTGAAGTGACAAGGTGACAATTTGAGAGCTGTGCAACTGTCTCCCGTCTTTTGCAGAAGTTGTGCTGCTTTGTGGGAAGGAATGAGTGAAGTAGGGGCGCCTATAGCGGGAGCATGCGCAGTGCAGCCCAGAGCTTCTCCCCCTCCCCCCTAGCATGCACAGTGCAACACCGAGGGTCTGTACTGTGAACATGCGCAGTAGAACGCCGGGGGGGGGGGGTCTGTACTGTGAACATGCGTAGTGGAACACAGGTTCTGTACTGTGAGCATGCGCAATAGAACGCCGAGGGTCTGTACTGTGAACATGCGCAGTGGAACACAGGTTCTGTACTGTGAACATGCGCAATGGAACGCCGAGGGTCTGTACTATGAACATGCGCAGTGGAACGCCGAGGTCAGCAGCAGAGCTTGTGTGCTCTTACCCTGTGGCGGCTTCCTCGGGACCACAGGCCCAGAACCAAGGGTCTCGCTCTGCACATCTACTGATGTGTCAGGCAGATGAAGTGACTTGAAAAGGTGGCTCACGTTTTACTTTGTGTCTTTAAACAGTGAAGACCGATTTGAGAGCATCTTAGGCGTTGTCCCCTGGAATTAGCAAACGTGGGTTCCTGGAGGCCCTGGCTCTCAGCTCACCTGCGATCGAATGAATAAACGCTGGGTGAAAGGGGCTTGCGACCTCTGCCTGCGAGCCTTCCTGTGCCCCTGGGATGCACAGCTGCTACCGAATGTCACTTTGTTCCGCAGTGCTGGAAGTCACTAGCTAGGCAGCTGCTCTGCCGCCTGAGCCACTTCCTCTCCCCTTTTGCTTTCCTTGTTTTTCAGACCACGCTCTGGTTTTGAGTCTCCACTCCTGGCTTCAGTCTTTAAAACGTTTAAATTTTGTGGCCCAACAAACTATTGCTCCTCAGTATGAAGAACAAATTAGATACTGAAAGATGTCTGTCCCCAGTGATGAAGTATTTGAATTTTGAATTTAAGAAAGTGTGCTGGCCTAAGAAGCTATTTACACAAATGGGATGTGAGCCATGCACTTGAAAGCATCCGGATAACTGCAGACAAGTCAAGGAAAAGTGATTCGGTATTTTCAGAATGGGAAACCAACTGGATGTGTATGTGATCTAATCCAGTTAGGATTTTCGTTTAATCATGGTGGTTCTCACTGGATAATTTAGTTCAAACAATAAATTACCGAAAGTAATAATTACAAAATGATTATGCAGCTTTAAATATTAGAGCTGAAATTGGCTTTATTTGCAATTAGAGATCAAGCTAGAAGTGAGGATTAAAAGTTGTTTTACATTTTGTCTCAATTAGCATTGATTTGTAACTATTTTTATAGAACATGACAGCTGTAGTGATTGTGATGGGTGAAATTGTTTTTTAAAGAAGGGAATCTATTGCCTTTTTAAAATTGGAGAAGGAAAATTCAGACTTTCTAAGTACATCTTTTTCATTCAGTAGTTATGTGCTTTTAAAAAACTATTTTTTCTTGTAAGAAGTTAAGTATCCTTTACAGATCTGTACAAGGACTTATTTTTTCACTTTAGTATTTATTTAAAAATATTTTTATCTCATTTGCAACAACTTGCCATTTTAATTTTTAGTAGGTATGTTTTTATTTTAGAAACGAACTTAGGTGAATGAGAATAAAGCTTTTTAGATATACCAAAATGTTTATAAAACAGCTAATTGTTGAAATCACTTCTGAAATGGTGGCTATCTAGTAACAATTTTTTGAAGCACAAATCACATTTTGTAAATCTCAATTTAACTATGACTTTTAATTGAAACATCGAATATGTTTAAGAAAAGTTGTAATTTGAGACCATCAAAGGAAACTACCCCCAGAATTGAATGTAGTCAGCTATTAACAGCAGTACTTTATTGAAAGAATATTGCTAATACACTTTCTCATAAATCCAAACTAAAGTTAGTTTTGCGAGGAACAATGTCACTCTTACATTTCCCCCATGAAGGACAATAAAATCTTTGTACCGGGAAGTGGTGTTTTGTTTCCTTTGTTTACTGGCTTGAGTAGAACCCCCTTGCTGGTTTCCAGGTAATGTATGTAGGCTGAGAATTACTCAACCTGTAATCTGAAAAATCCAAAATCCAAAACTTGTTCCACTATTAAAATTTTTGGATTTTGGATTTTTGGATTAGGGATAGGCAACCAGTAAAGTCTACCAAAATACTCCAAAATAAATAAAAATCCAAAGTCTGAAACTTTCTGGTTCTAAGCATTTTGGGAAAGAGATGCCCAGGGACACTTCAGTGCTGACAGCAAATATTCTGAGAGCTGCTCTGGAGGTGGTGGGAGGCCTCTCCAAGAATAGAAGTAGTGGCCAGGGTGGGGGTGCAGAGTTGCAGGGGTCAGAGTCTGTTACAGGAAGCTGGCAAGACAGCTTGTGGGTCAGCTGCCAAGCTGCCACGCACAGTGGGCAGGACTGTGAGGAAAGGAAGCTCCGTCTACAGCAGCCCACTAGTGGACACAAAGAAATGGACTGATTGTCAGTACCAAGTTGAAATTTCTAGGATAAGTGGACTTAATTGACCTGGCTATATAGTCAGATGCCTGCCCAAGGCCAATAGCCAAAAAAGAAAATAGGATATATCCATATTTTGGGGTGTGGAATTTTTGGGAGAGTGAAAAAGGGTAGTTGATGTAACCGCACAAAAGCAGTTGGATTTCATTATTTAGACAATGGGTAGCTAATGAAAGCATTTGGCAAAGTACAGCATTAGGTTTATGTGAAAATTCCAGTGGCCATGGGAGCTTGTGGAGATGAAGCCATGGTGACAGTCAGTTTACCGTAATAGCCTCAGAGAAAAAGCTTGAACTGTGACACTGACTGTACAGATTTGAGATATTTCAGAGTTAAAATCCCAACTGAGGGAATAGCTTGGTGATAGAGCACATGCCTAGCTTGCACAGGGCCCTGGATTCAATCCCCACACACAGGAGGCCTCAGGATGAAGGTCTTGTTATCCTTCTGCCTCCATCCCTGAGTGCCGAGAGTGCTAGGATTACAGGCAAGTACCACCATACCCAGCCCGGTTAGAATTCTTTCTGAGAGTACTGGATAGGAGGGATTTGGGTAGGAGAGAGAGCACCAGAGAACTGCAGAAAAACCCCAAGACTTGTACTGGGTATCACTGGAGCATGTAGGGGAGGAGTCTACACAATGCTCAGACAAGGAGTGAGGAGTAAGATCAGATCAGATCTCACGAAGAGCTGGGAGTTGGCATCTCCACCAAGCACAGAGAAAAGATTGTAAAACTCAGAACATGCGTGCAGCCCTCCAAAGGGTAGTGGGGCTAATTTAGGACCTTCCCATACCAAACTTAAAAGCAAGCCCTGGAAGCATATGAAAACTCAATGCTCGGTTCAGTGCTCCTTTCGGCAGCACTGGGGTTTGAACTCAGCCTCACGCTGGCTATGTAGGCGCTCTACCATCTAAGCCCCTCCCAGCCCCAAGTTTTCTTTCTTGAAAAGAGATTGTCCTTGCGTTGCCGCTACCTCTTCTGTCCTGTCTGGCGTGTGGGAGGGAGGCTAGAGTTGGCATGGATGCCTCGTAACTACAAAACCATGGCACGGTACAACCAGTGCGCCAGCTCAAAATTCTTACTAGCGGGATTATTCCATTGTTGGGGGATTTGGGTACATGTCGCTGAGTTTAGTCCTAACTGGAAGAACACTTCAGTGCTATGTGAGGCAGACGCGGGGACACTGTGCCCGAGGCTTTTCAACAAAGTTTGCACTAACCCAATCTAGAGGCTGCCTGTGTGGCCAGGGAGCCAATTGGGGTCCACATGTTTTTCCAGTGTGCCAGTACCTGGGGAAGAACTTTCCGGAAGAGCTTGAGTGGATGTCTTTCTGTCCTCCTCTAAACCTGCCCCTGGGAAAACATCTTTTTAGGGTTTAGATGAAATATGCCTGAGGCATGCAGACAATCCTCCTAAGTAGCATCCTAAGAGCAGAGCAAGCAGGTCCCAGATACTGTGCAGCGACCGCCATGGTCCCAGGCTTCTAGGACTAGATCATGTGCAAGTGAGAGGTAGAAGAGGTAGAAGGCTGTGTAAGCTAACATTCTTTGGGGTTAACTGATACCTAAATTATCTTAAGAAAGTACATCTAAGCTGGGCGTGACGGTGGTGCACACTGTAATCCCAGCACTTGGAAGGCTGAGCAGGTTTGGGATCAGCCTGGGGTATGCGGTGAGATCCTGTCTCAAAAACAAAAACAAACAAAAAACCAAAAATAAACCTCCACCCCTCATAAAGATTAAAAACAAAAAGAAAGCATATCTAGTTTCAGATTGTCAAGAATTTGTCAGTCCGTGATAAAATTGGTGGTATAATTTTACTACTGAATGTAAAACAGTATTTGCGGAAATTTGAGACGAAATAGGTAGAGATTAATCTAATCTAGCCCTAGATTAGGCATCTCTTCTAGATGGTGTAAGCAGAGGACTTCTTGGAGGAGTTAGGTACCTTGCATAATCCTTAGGAAAGCTGGGGTCAAGAAATGGATGCTGCAGAGCATCCAGGCAAGGTCACTGTCACCACTGCCTCGCTTCAACTCCATGACACTCAGGACCTATCAGCAGCATGTCCCCAGAGCTACCCCAGAAGTACTGACCGTCCCTTCACAAATGGTAGCAAGTGGACCACCTCTCAACCTCCAGCCTGGAGGAAGTCTTGAGAGACACTGCTTTTCACCTTCCAGGTTCTACAACAGAAAAGCAAACCAGAAGGAAGCAGAGAGGCGCGCGGTGACTCAGTCATAGCACCTGCCACAGAAAGTGATGCCAGCTACGCCCGAGAACACCTTCCCTGGGAAATGCCATGTGCATTTCTGAAGTTTTTCCCACATGCAAACTGAGGATATCCTTGCCAATTTGAGGACTTCTTATATTTCCGTGAGCCTCTCATGCAAATGTAAGACTTGCACTGTTGAGCACTTCTTGGAGGCTGTTCTTCCATTGCACACGCACAGATGCTCCGTGGCCCGCATTACAAATTCTGGGAACATGAGAACTTGCTCACGGAGGGCAGTGTTGACTGTAAATTAGACAAGGAAGGGCTGTCTGAGCCCTCATCCATCACCTGCATCTCTTCTAGCCCCCTGTACCTTTGTGGTCTCAGCCCTCCAGAGACTCATCCTCAAGGCTCCCAAACCTGTTCCTAGAGACTTCACTTTGCCCCTGAGTTCCTGAAGTGGCAGCTGCCTGGGTGCCACTTCAGGAACTCAGATGTGTCAAATCCAAGCTCATAGTGCTTCGTCAAAACCTCCAGTTTCTGTCTGCAGCTTCAATGGCCCTCGTCTTGCACATTCTGTTTCCTGCTGACATCCATCACTGCTGTTGCCCACGCTTGCCTTGCCCTTACTTCCTGAGAGGGGGTGCCACGCAGACCCTGGAGTCAGGCTGGGTGGGGACTGCACCCCAGATGTCCTGACAGTCAAACCTTTCCTGCTTCAGTTTTCGTGTTATTTATTTATTTTGGTGGGAATCGGGAAAATTCGGTGAATTACTGTAGATGTAGTACCTATGGTTGCAATAGTAAACCCCCCAAAACTGGGTAGTTAAACCTACTACTACTTATCATCCCTCGCTGTTATGGGAAGAATGTGGGAGCAGTTCAGCAAAGCCCTTCTGACGTGGGGGTCTCTCTGAGGTCGCGATCATCTGAAGGCCTGGACAGATGGGGTGTAGTGTCTGCCACTCCTCTGGCCTCCCTCTTGCTCTCCCTGTGCCACCTCCTCAAGCTGGCTGGACTTCTGCATGGTGGCTGGAAACACGCAGAGCAAGTGGCCCAGATAAGCTTGCAAAGCCCAGGCCTCTCCTAACTCAGTACAAAAGTCACTCCCTGGTCACCTGGAGTGGCAGTTGCTAAAACCAACCTGGGCTTAAGGTGCTAAATTGTATCCATGCATGGGAGGCCTGGCAGAAAATGTGTGGACCTTTTAACACCCACTACACAGTAGTATTTTGTAGCACTCACATGGCCCACGGTTTATCACCGTAATCAAAAGGCCTGTAAAACTGAAAGATGGGTCACTTATTTTTCTCTCGCACAGACCTGATTCAAATAGTTGATTGTTCTACCTTAATAATTATTTTTATGAAAACAAACACACTTGCTCTTCCTGGCAATGTTTGGAACTGCTTCCATCTGGTGTGCTTTTGTTTCTAACGCCTGTGTCACCCAAAATTCACCTTTAAAAGTTAGCATTTCCCAAACTTTGATTTACATTAGGCTTTGGACCTGTTTGTTAAAAGCATAACTGTGATACTTAATTAGTTTGCAGGAACAATTTACAGACATGCCAGTCGAACAAATGAATTCCTATAAAACCCTTTGCATCACTGGTGGGTGAACCGAAAACTCTGGAGTGGGGTTTAATAAGCTAGGTCTATGATGGAGCGCTTCTTCTTTCCTTTTTTTTTTTTTTCCCCTCCCTCTATTCGGATCTAAGGATCTTTTAAGGTAATTTTCTTCCCACTTTGCCAGTCATTAAATGCAACAACATAAACTGAGTTCAGAAACAGACCTTCATCTTGCCTGCCATGAACAGTTAAAGCAAGACTTTTGAAATAATGAAGCATATTTAATCCCTGACTTTGATCTTAAAATATTATCAGCAAAATAGGCTGGTATGTGTGTGTGAATAAACAAGTTTTTCCTGGACTAGGTGAAAAAGGAATAAAATTAAAGTTATTTTAAAAATTCTTGCTGGCATGGTGGCTACATTGCCTGTAGTCCCAGCACTGGGGAGGCTGAGCAAGAGGATAGCAAGTTTAAGGCCAGCTTGGGCTACATCTGGAGACCCTGTCTCAAAAACAAGAACAAAAAATACCTAAATATATATATGCAATTTTGTGTGCGTGTGGTATTGGAGTTTGCACTCAGGGCCTACACCTTGAGCCATTCCACTAGCCCTTTTTTGTGATGGTTTTTTTCGAGATAGGATCTTGAGAACTCTTTGCC